GATCTATAAATGGAATACATATAGAGTTCATAGATTTTCATTAGTAATCACCTGAAAACAATATTGTTGTGAGTTTTATTATTTATTTATAAATTTTTACCTTAGAATGAGCTTTTTTTTATCTAGAAGCACCGCGGGTCACATTCAGTGGCGGCCGCTATGTTGAACTGCCATGTTTCTACAGTAGCCCAGAACGGACAAACCTAAACTGGCTCTCAATAAGGTCACTGTAGTTTCACCCTCACATAGAAAGGGAGGGTTTCAATCTGCAACTACACTGCTAGATGCCACTAAATCCTACACACTGGTCCTTAAATATCAGGCCTTGTTTTCAGATTTAGTATGTAGTAGTATTAGAGTATCACTGATAAATAAACAAAACCTGACTATAAATACAAACTTGCACACATTAATTGTTGGTTTTATAACCCTTTGTGTCTTCAGGAGGATATTTTGGACCACGTGTCAGACATCAGCAAATCCTGGATAAGGAAGATGTCAACGTTCACTGTGCTAAAACCCTCTGAAAGGTCAGGAATCTGATCAGTGACAGTTGCTCTTTCTTCTCTATATAAATCTTCTAAGGATAGATTTAGAGAGCAATGAAGCCACGTGACTCCTCTTGCTAATTGTGCTGAAACTCTCAGGTGTAGCCACGTTCTCTGTGGCTGGATTACTGGGCACGAGTCAGAGTATATGGAGACGCTCCCTGAGCAGGAGGTCAAAGATTCCATCACAGAGCTAATCCGCACATTCACAGGTGAGTCTCAACCTGTAGCTGTGTCCTGATCAGTAGTATGGATGAAACTGGACAGTAATATTGTTTATTACTGTTTTATTTTTTCATAAAGTAGAATTACAAACTGCTTTGCAAAGGGGAAGACACAATGTCACAATGAACAAATGCAGCATATCACATTAAAGATGTGAAAGAAATAAGGGAAAAAAGTCTGATAAAATTACATTTGAAGAAAACAATTAGGAAAGTGTTATTAATATTTAATAGTACTTCTTATACTAAATAGTGTAATTCAGAGAAATACAAGTCTCACAGTTGATGAAGAAGTGGTGGCCTTTCTTTTGGTGCCACCCTCTGGCCAAACTGTACATAATTCGACTCAATGTGAGTGAGCATTAACAGCCTTGAGGGTCAAAGTAAGTGTCTTGTTGAAAAAGCTTGGGTCCTGATAAAGAGGTGTCAGTAAGGTTGCTTTATTCTTGGTAGAGGATCTCAAGATTGTGTACATAGATAATGTAATTCATGTAATCTGTTGTTAATTAACAATTAAACCATAACATTGTTAATGTTAATGGGAAAGGGAGGGTGAAGTGATGTGCCACTAAATCCAACCTACCTTTAAGTTGGCCTGAATGAATTCTCATTAGTTCTGGTAAAATGCCTTTTATCACTACCTCACTATCCAGAACTTGTTGGGGAGCTAGTACAAGAGATTTAAAAAATGTCTTGGTCATTTGTGTTTAGGTAACGTTACCATCACACCGAGGAGAATCCTGCGCTCACAGTGGTTTCATGAGCCCTGGACGTGTGGGTCTTACTCTCACCCAGCAATAGGCTGTTCAGCCCAGGACCTGGAGAACATGATGGACCCGCTGCCTACGAAGGGATCTCACGCACAGGTACACACGAGTCTGTTTTATTAACTCACAGACACACATGTGTATACAAAGTACTTACATTATCTCTCAAAATATGACTTTGACCAAAAGTTGTCTCAGTTCTGACTTGTTTTGTGTGTTTCAGCCCCTGCAGGTGTTGTTTGCTGGTGAGGCCACTCATCCCTGCTTCTACTCAACGGTCCATGGAGCTCTTGTCACCGGGTGGAGAGAAGCTGATAGACTCATCTCTCACTACTCCTCCACCAGCCCATAAAAAAAACAGGCTGGATGCATAGAAACATTTGATGTTTTTACACCCAAATTTATAAAGTTGGTACTTCTCATCCAATGGATTTTAAAAGAGAACTGCACTGATTTTATATGTCTCTTGGGCATTACTGCAAAGTGCATGTGAAAAACATATAAAGCTTTTTGAGGCTCAAAGAGGGAGCTGCGCAAAATGTGTTCAATCGCCTCTGGGACCAGATAACGGGACATGGTTTTCAGAAGATTATGTCTTTAACTAAACCCAGAGAAGATGAGTTTGGGTCCCCTCACCTGACTATGAAGATCTTCTGTTTTGTTTGTGTTTATTTGTCATGCTCATATTGTTTGCTGGATAAATTAACAGACAAGAATCACTGTTAAGAAGTGAAAGTCAAATTGTTAATTGATTTATTTGCAGGTGTGAGCAATTTGTGGTATTGTAAGGATACATATTGTTCACTTCTGAATTTGCCATTGTCCTGATTTTTTTCCTGATTTGTCTGATTTCATGCAGTCATCCTATCAAGTGAAAGGCTAACAGCTTTGCATGTTGTCCTTTGTGTTCTTCCATTTGAGTGAACCAAGTGAACTTGAACCAGCAGCAGCACCATCTTTCTTGTTGTTTGTATTGCTGAAAGTGCCCTGGGGTCAAGTGAATAGGGGGCAATAAAAGTGTCAACCTGGCCTTATTATGGGCAGCTGAATTGAACATTTGTTTGTTAGCATGATCTGATAAGAGCTCTGCTCTAATACCTCATCTTGAGACCCCGTGTAAACGGACTCTGTTTGAAGAAAGTCCCTGCTTACAGGTTACATATTCCTGAATTAATGTGTTTAATTCAATTACCACACAGCAGGTTTTGGGCCAAGTAGTATTCCAACATATAAATAGTGTATATACGGCACATAGAGGGACCATGTAACTACTGAACACTTGGTGAGCTTGGGTTTCAACATAAATATGGAGAAGAGAGACGGCAGCCAGGTAATGTAACAGACATTGGTACAACTGACCCTTTTCGTACCATTACAAGTCATCATAATCACAGTTATACAGCATTGCAATAAGTGGTGGGCTCTCTAAGCGGCAGGGGCTTTGATGCATTTATGTTGAAACCACTAACAGCATATCTAAGGGTGAAACAGCTCCAAACCCTGGTTAAGATTAAAAATGTTTTATTATGTGACTCAGATTTAATGTGTAACTACTTGGCCTGCAACTCTGTAATAAAAAACCCACAGGGAACCATAAACTATTTAACCATTTAGAGGCTAACTCATTTTCTAGCATGTAGGACAACCAATATGGCACTGCATCAGGATTTCTCAACCTAGAGGGGTTTTCATGCACACTGGGCCACTATAGAGGGCATTTTATCATGTTTTATCTACCTCAGGGTCACCAAAGAGGCCTATTTTGCAGTGTTTTTATTTGCTGCAACTATAAAACAAACTAAATCATGAAACAGCTAAAACAAAAATTAATTAATTTTATAATTAATAATAATAATGCCATTTAAGGTATGGGGCCAGATTGTCTATGGGCTGAACAACATCCTGTGACCTTTCAACTGTGTCCTGACACATTCACAACAACATATAACGGTACCAGCCTCCACCAATCGACTTTTATTTTGAAACTCTTAACCGGAAGACATTTCTTTTTTATCCCCCCCTCAAGTAAGTAGGATAGCACAGTAGTCAGTGGTACTGTTAGATATTAGTGTAGTAAACCACCTGCAGTTTAACCCAGCTATGGCTATGAGTGTGAGCGCTAATATAGTGATAATAGGATCCGGGATATCAGGAGTAGCAGCCGCACACAGGCTCCTTAACGCCGGGTTTCAGCATGTGCGGGTACTTGAAGCGACTGCACGAAGCGGAGGACGAATAAAAACAGGCAAACTGGGTAAGCGACCAACTTCTTACAATTTTGCCAGCATGTTTTTTTTTTGTTGTTGTTGTTTTTTAGCAAATAAGAGAAAATAAATGTTTCCTGCGCAGCCTCAGAGGTCACAGGTTGTTGTTCCCTTACAGGAAGTCCGTTATCTGTCAGTGTTTATGTCTCCCTCTGGTCCATAGAGCAGGGCTGAGCTCTGACAGCTGTGTTTTATATAACTTAGTATGTGTTATCAGGCCTGGGGAGTACTTTGATTACATGTAAGAGAGTTATGTAATCAGGATACAAAAGTATTTTAGTACAGTATGCAATGCCTTCATGAAAATGGTCTATAAGCTACTAGCTGAGCAAGTTTTTCTTTAAAAATACACTAAAACACATTTTTGATGCTTAATTTTCTTTTCTTTTCTTTTCTGTTGTTTGAAATACAATAAACAGTAATCTTATTGATATTTCTTTTCTCTTGTTTCTCTTCTTTATGTGCATATTTGGTGATAAATGAATCTAAAACTAACGGGCAGTAATCGAGTTATGTTACTTTAATGTTGTGATACTTGGATTAGGTTGCTGACTGTATTTATTAACAGGTAATTGGTAAATGTATCAGATTACATTTTTAAAGTGACCCTCCCAACCCTTTGAGAAATGGGTTTCCACACTAAAACATGATGTAAGATTACAGATCCAGTTTTTATTTACATGTCTCCTGTAAATCATTTTCTGCAACTGCACAATATTTAATAATAATAATATTTTTCCTCTGTAGGTGATAATATTGTTGAGATCGGAGCAAACTGGATCCACGGACCATGCGAAGAGAACCCGGTGTTCTGTCTGGCTCAGACGTACGGGCTCCTGGATCCAGAGGCCCTCACCCCGGAGAACCAGGCCATGGACGTTGGAGGACATCCCCCCTGGGTTCCTAACTACTACACCAGTTCAGGTCAACAGACGTATTAAAAATCTGACTATTTTAAGACTGATCTGACAGATAGCTCAAAATAATACAAAGATAATATGAAAGTGTACCACAGAGTGCCCTATTGTACCTTATATGGTTGGGCCCTATTACTCTCTATTCTGGAATTAAAAGATGATTATACCACCAAAATAAAAGAGTGATTTCTGTTGGATTTTCAGGCTAAATAAATTACTATATTTTAGTTACATTCTCATTTAAATAGAAAGGAGAAACAGATGTGATTTGCCATCTTATAACACCGTGGTGGCTGCACAGATAGAGTTAATTTTTAGATAAGACTTATGTTTTGACTGCAGTCTGATATACAAGACCCAAACAAGTGAAGGGGATATTGTAGGTGTGTACTTTGTACAAATCCTCAGGCACTAACACAAATGCTTGTTTAAACTATAACTGGAAAGGCCAGTATGAAACCAGCATTTGAACCGAATATACTCAACTAAAATGAGTTACAGATATGGTTGCAAGTGCTTTTGCATTATTGCATTTATTGGAATATGTAACCAGTTTTTAGTTGGGTTATTTATTACTTACAGAAGTGTGTGACTGAAGTGATATAAGTGCTATATTTGCTGAATGTTTTTAATGAGCATGCTGTGGGTTATGTAACGTTTGCAGGTCGGAAGCTGAATGCCGAGGACATGAATCCTGCTAAGGAGATGTTTGCTGAGCTGCTGATTGAAAGTTCAAAATTTCAGAGTCAAGGAGGAGAACCCTGTGCCAGCGTGGGAGATTTCATACGGTCAGAGGTACATTTCTTTTAGTGATTAAATTAATTATATGTTAGATACCAGTATCTGAGATCAGCTGCCAGCCAGGATTGGCAAGAAAAATCAAGACTTTATTGGTGTTTGCTGTCTGGCGCAGATGCATCAACGAGCAGCAGAGAAGTGGAAAGAATCTGATGCAGCCACCAGATCTCTGCGGCTGTGTGCGATCACTAACATGTTGAAGGTGGAGTGCTGTGTTAATGGGTCTCACAGCATGGATGAGGTGGGCCTAGGGGCCTTTGGCTTATATGAGACTCTACCTGGACTGGACTGTACATTCCTAGGGTTCGTACCCCAACACTGCATACATACAGTGCAGCAACTAAAAATTACTACTATTACTTAACTACTAATTAAGTAATCAAATTCATTAAGTCATTATTTCCTACATTTACATGATTATTAATAAGTAAAAGGGGTGTCTTGCATTTGCTTGTCAGACCGGCAACCAAAGGATACCTTTTATAGTGACATAAGATAAAGATGAAGAAACCAATCTTAGTGTTTTCTCTGTTGTACCTTGCAGCTGTTCAGTTTACCTGATACATACAGTACCAAAGTACATTATCCAGTCTGTTAATGACCTGATTGTTACAGTGTGTATGTGTTGTTGACGAAGACATTTTCTTACTCGTGCAGTGGCTATGAAGGTTTAATCAAAAACTTGATGTCGGAGCTCCCCAGCGGTCTAGTGACCTACAATCAGCCTGTGCGCTGCGTCCACTGGAACAACACAGAGCAGAAACAAAACCCTGTGATCATTGAGTGTGATGCTGGGGAAAGGATCGCTGCGGATCATGTTATTGTAACAGTTCCTCTAGGTAGGATATTTTCTGTCTCAGTGCGTGAAATGTTGGGGTTGTGCTACGACAAACAAGCTCTAACTTTTATGAAACTCTTCACAACACGCACATGGAGAACACAACAGACATGACTCAGATAGCAGTTTCTTTATCTGCGCACCCACACCGCTGTTTTCACTTATTTGGGCTAATTAGACTTCAGCTCACCTTGAAGTTTGGTGAGTCTATGCGGGAATTACATGAGCTCACCAAACTTTATGGCCCAATGTAAAGATGTAATTTGTTCCACCCTATATAAAACTAATAGCCAGGTCAGTCAGATGTCTAACCAGGCAAATGAAGTGAAAACACGTGTGGATTCTCAACTTATAAAAGATACTTTAAACATTTTCTTTTCTATTTTTCATGCAATTTTAATGACTAAACTACAGTCTGAAGCATAATATCTTCCGAATTCTGTACATTAATCACAGTCAAACATAATGCATTTATCTGTGAAGCACTTTGTAACTTTATTTTTAAATATGCTATACTAATGAAGGTTGATATTATATTATTATTATTACCACAATTTTTTTTTGTCCTTTAGTACTAAAATATGTTATTTGGTTAAATGTAACTTGTTTTGGTTTGATCTGTTTCATCAGGATACCTTAAGAAGCACCATTCAGCCCTATTCCGTCCTCCTCTCCCTCTACACAAGCTGCACTCCGTCCAGAGACTGGGTTTTGGAACAAACAATAAAATATTTGTGGAGTTTGATTCACCGTGGTGGGATGCTGACTGTGAAGTCATCCATCTCCTGTGGGAAGACGAGGTAAGACGTATAGTCAATGAGTAAAGGTGTATATTTACTGTAAAATATGTGCACACACACTGGACTTAATTAAACTTTAAATAAAAACAATCTAATAAACCTGGGTTTAAATGTATATATGTATATATAGCCTATGCAAAGAGTATTTCAATTATTAAAGTATTCAAAGGAAGGCTTGTTGAAACAAGTTTGTCCCTGACCCGGTTCAAGTTGGAGTCCATGGTGGGGGGGAAACATCCCGACATCATCAATTTCCAGCTGGTTCCCTCCTGAGTTACAGAGAGAAACACTGTGTTTTACCGCTTTGTTGTCTAGCACCTCCTCTGTCTGTGTGGTGAACAACTACTTACGGGGAAACAGATGACTAGCCTAGCTGCAAGGCCTCCTTCATCTTCTCCTTGGCTTTCTACTGTCTTTGCATGGATGCAGGCGTTAAGTTGAACATGTTCTCAGGGAGTGTCTATAGTGTTCTCTTTATCCGACAAGTTGAGTCGAGCTCTCTCGCCGTCTTCTGCAGCACCAAAATTGTCATACACTTCCCTGTTATTACCGGCATCATCCAACATGGAAACTACATGAAGCTGTCACCATAGAGATAATATTAAGGGCTCTTGCCGTCAAGGCTGCCGAGTTGTAAGCTCTTTTAGTGACGGTGGACAGAGAACAGTCAGGTTTAGATAGGAGGGTGGAGGTCTAGAAACCATCAGAAACAGTGATGCAGTGACTCTTTATAATCCTCATTATAATCAAGCATGAGGTCATCAATCAGTAACCTTTTTGTCTTATTCTCAACCCACACGTGTCCCAGAAATGTGTATACCACTAGTTAGCAAACGATCTAACACAACACCTGAACTGTTTTATCTCTTTCAGGATGTCATGGTGGACAAGGTGCCAGATGTACAGAGATCGTGGATAAAGAAGCTGTTTGGGTTCACTGTGCTCAAGCCCACTGAGAGGTCGGTACTACAAACACATTATTCACGCTAAAGCTGATGCATGTCGAGCTTGTTTATGTTGTATTTAACAGAAAATAACGGGCAAATTATTGGATTAGGAAAACAGTCTTGTGTGTGGTTTAACTTTCAGGTATGGCCATGTTCTGTGTGGCTGGATTGCCGGACACGAGTCAGAGTATATGGAGACCGTGTCTGAACAGGAGGTCACGCAAAACGTCACACAACTCATCCGCAGGTTTACAGGTAAGTTTAATTAAGTCACAAGTATAGGACTACCACTCCAACCGTGGTTGTTTTAGAATGATCTCTACGAGTGCTTGTAGACTAACTGTATGTGTTTAGGGAACCCGACCATCACACCGAGGAGAATCCTACGCTCACAGTGGTTTCATGACCCCTGGACGTGCGGATCTTACAGTTACCCTGGAAAAGGCTGTTCAGTTCAGGACCTGGAGAACATGATGGAACCCCTGCCGACAAAAGGATCACAAGCACAAGTACCTACATGTTTATACTTGAACCCAAATGTGTGCAACAAGCATTCATACCAACTCACACATAATCAACTAAGTATTAAGACTCTTGTTTCCAACTATTTGGTATGTTTCAGCCCTTGCAGGTGTTGTTTGCTGGTGAAGCCACTCATCCCTGCTACTACTCAACGGTCCATGGAGCTCTTCTCACCGGGTGGAGAGAAGCTGATCGACTCATCTCTCACTACTCCTCCATCAGCCCATCTGAGCTGCACAAGTCAAAGCTTTAACAGAACAATGCTGCTATGAGATAAAGAGATTTATCAGATTTGTTGCCAAAATCTGCCACTGTTGTTTATTTAAATCAGTCACCTAAAATCTCCTTTCAGATCTTGTAACAGCACTGATTTCAGTGCATTGAAATAATGTCAACTTGGAAAGGCAATATACGCAAGTGATCAATACAGTTATATTTTCATTAAATATATAATTGATACAGCTTTAAATATTAACCGATGAAAGGTCTGTTTGTATATTTTAGTAAAGAAAAAGGAATGAACTTGAAATGTAATTACACATGTTATAAACCTGTTTACGAATCAGCTTAATATCAAATGCAGTTTCAAGAATTAATAGTGATTTTGTAACTGCACTGTCTTGATTTAAGACTTAATTCCATACAGTCTTCAACTTCCCCTGTTGGTAATCTAATTATTGATTATGGGTCATATATATCTTTAATAGATTATAAATGTATTAGTACATTATTTTAACTGTTCTTTTTTAAGTCAATTAGTGAATTAAATATTTTATAAAGTTCTAATTGTTTTATTGTTTTGATCTGTTTGTTTTTTTTATTGTTTCATTTTATAAATACATAGCCATAAAAAGAGTGTTTGGGCTGACAAACATACAATAATTATTGTTTGAATTATTAAAATTGCATGGTAAAGAATAAGTTGACAGGATTTAAAAAGTTTTGGGCAAAGTAAGAAACACATTCATGTTGGATTTTAAAAAGTAAAACCTAACATGTTAAAAATATATTAAACCTTTATAGGAACTATAGATGTCTGACTATGAACAGAACAAGGTTGATGTTGGGACAAATGCCCTTAATAGGCAAACATCTGTCTGGGTTACGTGATTGTTGTTCAACAGAAGAGTCATTAGAGCATGTAATATGAATATACCAAATATATCCAGGAGCGATATAAAGGGCAACTCAAGCAATATGGATTAGCAGAAATAATTGAATCTTGGGTCGAGGATTTATAACAGTAAATTTAAAAGAGATTAGGCGGATAAATAGTTTTTTAGTGCCAACGAAGAGCAGTGGTAGACTCAAGCAGTCTGAGGGCACTTTATCAATTTCTATCAACCACAGGCATCCAAGAGGACACTTTTAAAGCACTTTTTCAAACTGGCCAAGCACTGTAACATTAGTAGCCACCCGCCATTAAACAGTACAGAACAGACTACATTTTATAAAAGATTGTTACTTGTTTGATCTAAGGATTTTACTTTTAAAGGCAGGTATTTATACATATTCCTGCAAAAGACAGGTCCAGAGACATTTAAGTAATTCTTTGTTTGTCCTGAGGAGGGCAGTAACACGACCATTAGTGTATAAACTCCAAAAAAAAACCAAACCCACATAGAAGAAGTCTTACAGCAGGAACAAAGATGTTAGACAAGAGTTTCCAGTCGGAATGTAAACAGTGTAGCACAGCACCAACATCCCCAGTGCAGCCGGTCGGTCTAAATAAATCTTTAAATAACACAAATGAGAGCCGGACGCTGTAATATTTTAGTTTAAACCATGAAACTGTACCACACTCTCCGTAATGTCGGCAGGTTCAGGACCGTGTTCGACTTCGGGGGTCGGGAAGTGGCTCATTGGTTCCCGGGACACATGGCTAAAGGTGACAGCTTAAAGTTTCCTCCACAATATAAATGTTTATACCTTGTGAGAAGTAAGCAGTCCTGTGTGTTAGAACTGCTCACATAATAATAATAATGTGCTTTACTGTTTGTAGGACTGAAGCAGATGAAAGCCAACCTCAAGAGTGTGGACTGCATCATAGAAATCCACGATGCCAGAATATCCTTTATTTAAAAAAACTGAATTTATGTTGAAATATAGCAGAATAAATTATTAATTTAGCACTTTGTTAAACAAGTTTTATGTACAATATACACAGCAATAACACAGTCAGGTAGAATAATAGACAGATAAATCGAGAGTCACAACACAGGAGTTATAAAAGTATCCTGTAAGTTAAAACTGACAAAAAAATCACTTTAAAGCACATTTATAAAAGTGTTTTTATTTTTTTTTTAAAGATTAAACTTTCCTAGGTGCTATGATGTTGTATAAGCCCTGACAGCTGAAAAAAACAACAACCAAAAACTTTAACCTCTGAGATTAAATCTTCACATTGGTACAATTATAAGGAAAACACTTGAAGGATTTGTCAGTAATAGTTTTAAGTAAATTCTAAAAGTTATTCAAAGATCAGTGAGGATGTATGGCGATTCTGGTTGACGTAAAGGATAAAGCTGGCGCGAATGGGAGCAACTACCAGTGCTGTTCCAGGAGAACTCCAGACTGTGGTTATAAGTCTTTGCGGATTTCTTTTTTTTTTTTTTTTTTTGATAATTTGAAGTTGTATTGAGTTTTATAACAAGAATATCCAACAACAGAAAGAAAAGACAAAACAGAAACAGGCAGGAAACCAACAGACATTGGTATAAGGAAGGTGAATATTTGCTTACATTAATTCGGTTTCATAGCTACTGTGCAAAACTATCATACTGTTTTCATGTTTGGTTTTTCCTCCTGGACATATACCCACTAAAGCTGCACCTTTTTTCCTTAACCATATTATTTTTCCAGTTCAGTCTTCCACAAGCAACTATTTCCATTGTTTGTTCCCTCCACATTTTCAGTGTAGGAGTTTGAGGCTCTTTCCAACATCTGTTATTTAAGTTTTGTGCTTAAATATTTCATGTTTTTAAGTTATTGTGTTAAAGAAAATCACCACTCTGCACATCTGTGGCCAGGTAGTAGCATATAAAAGCATTGCACAGAGTCTAGTAGGAGTTTAACAGTGGTTGCAGTGGGTCATTTTTACCCTGTGAATTCCAGGCAGGTTAATGTGACCATGCTGCTGTTCACTACAGAAAATGAGTTTCTTTAACACAAAGCACATCCCCTTCTCTGGAAGAAACCCTGTGTTTCAGGAAAATCTAGATGTCAAACCTCATCTGCTAATTCTCAACAAGATGGACCTTGCTGATTTGTCCAGCAAGCAGGTGAGAAGTCTTGCTGCTATTTTAGCGTTTACATATCCTCGGCATTTTAAAATCATTAACACAAAATCTTTACATTCGCTCTACAGAGAATCCTAACGACACTACAAAATAATGGCGTGAGGAATGTCATCTTCACCGACTGCTTAAAGCAGAGAGATGACAATATCAAAGAGGTGAAGGAGAACTTCTCTGGATACTAAACATTTGACTGTTTGCAGAAGTTTGTCCTCAGCTAATATGAAATAAAAATTATGAGCATGAATGTGGAAATTATTCCTGTTTATTTTCCTGTAGTTGGTGCCGATGGTGGTGGACATTATTGGGAAAGAGCCACGCTTCAACAGATATGAGGTAAGCTTACTCCGGGCAATTTAATAATATATTTTAGCTAATTTCTACTTTGAGAAAAGTCAGTTAAACATGAAAGCCCAGTAGACATTTTACAGCTGTTCTCACTGTTTCTGAGCAGCATTAAACATATTTTCTTGTTTCTCATTTCCCAAATTATACATATTCACAAAAATAACAAGTCTTACCTTCAAAGAGATATAAACAATCCTTATAAAGTAACACAACCTTTCTCTCCTCAACTGATCTTTATTTAAACGTTCAGATGGCCCCACCCAATTTTTCTCACAATTTAAATGTTAAAGGTATAAACCAATATATTGGCTGTACTCTAACCTTGTCATGTAAATCTTTCAGAACAGGAATTATTGCCTGATGGTGATCGGAGTGCCCAATGTAGGGAAGTCGTCTCTTATTAACTCATTAAGGAGAACAAATTTGAAAAAAGGTATGTATAATTAAGTAGTTGTTGGATTCATTAGGCTAGTTCAAGATCATTTTCACCTTCAGTAATAAATGTTGTTATTACAGGTCGTGCATCTCGAGTAGGTGGGGAGCCAGGTATAACTAAAGCCGTTCTGACTAAAATTCAGGTGGGTATTGAGGACATTTGTGTATGTGTGTGTGTTCATGGGTTCATTGCACCTCTGTACATTATTTTAAACTGTCTTTGTCATCAGGTGTGTGAGCGACCCATAATGCATCTGTTGGACACACCAGGAGTCTTGCCTCCAAAGATTGAGAGTGTTGAAACGGGCATGAAGCTGGCTTTATGTGGTGAGCAGAACAGGGTATTTTCATTCAGGAAACCATGTGGACACTTGGTTGTACTGCAGTCAGAGGAATTGTTGTCACATTTGTCCCTATAAGAGGTTTTTCCAATGTGCTCAACACATATTTTGATTTTTTTTTTCTTTTTCCAGGAAGTATTCTGGACCATTTAGTGGGTGAAGACATTATTGCTGACTACTTACTGTATTCTCTGAACAGGACAGGAAAGTTCAGGTGTGAACTTTCTCCCTAAATTCTGACTGAGTCAACGTTAATATGATGAGTGCACTCCTTTACTGTGATTGTTTACTGTATGTGTGTGTTTATGTGCAGTTATGTAGAGAAATATGACCTTCAAGAGCCAAGTGACGATATCCAGAATGTCCTCAAACGCATTGCTGTAAAACTTGGAAAGACTCAACGGGTCAAAGCCATCACTGGAGTGGGTAAGAAGATGCTAATCCTACAGATGCTCATGCTACATACAGTATTATTGACTAGCTAACTCTAAATTGATTTAAAGAAAGATTGATACCACTCCCATGTCTGTACAGTGAATATGAAGCTACAGCCAGCAGCGGGTTAGCTTAGCTTAGCATAAATACTGGAAACAGGGGGAAACAGCTAGCCTTGCTCTGTCCAAAGTTAATAAAATCCACCCACCAGCACTTCTAAAGCTCACTGAGCCACTGGGCAACCCACTCCAGTCTGTTGCTGCTCAGATTCTCTCTGCTCCGGTGATAACCATATTTTAAAGCAGATGGTGGTACAACCTCTTCTACTGCTGTCCACTGTGGTTGACTCTTGGGCTGACAGCGCTGTCAGCAGCTCGGCAGTAGAGACACTCTGTGGTGCACTTTTGCTTTCTCTGACTGTGTGGAAATCAGATGTTTTCATATCACAGATGCTGAAGACATTAAAATATGAGGGGGCCTAAAACATGACACTCGTGTAGCCACGTTTCCACCGCTGGAGTTGCTGATAGGAGCTTAGTGTGGCGCTGAACTGAGACAAAGGAACAAATAGTCGAATCAAAACCACAATTTTTGGTTCAATCGTAATTTTTAAACTTTTATTTTTGTACAGATTACAGATACAGAATTAGTGAGCTTTAGAGGTACTGATAGGTGAATTTTGTTCCTTCTGGACAAAGCAATGCTAGCTGTTTTACGCTGTTTCCAGTGTTTTAGCTAAGCTAAAAGGCTGCTAACGCTAGCTTTATATTTACCTGATGACATGAATCTTCTCATCTAACTCACGGCAAGAAAGCGAATAAGCACGTTTCCCAAAATATCAAAACATTTATTTAAAGATGCTTGCCATTATAACCAGATATGTGACTAGATTGGCTTTTTCAAGTCAAGTCAAGCCAGATTTTATGTATAT